TGCAGGAGAGACAAGAGGGAACTTTAGCATCAACAGTCTTGAATTACTTTATTGAGGTACAACCAAAGATGAGATGTCCAGAGGAGATGCACATGGCAATGGGAGGGTAGGCTGGGAGTGAAGCAGTTTGTCAGTTCCTGGCCTGAAGAGCCTGGGGACTGAGACAATTAGAGGATCTTTGAGGAGCTGGACAAACTGGAAGGAGACAAAAGAGCATCTCTGAGCATGTTCAGGGCTGCATGGGCTGGATTGGGGGCAGAGGGACTGCTTAACCCAGGAGTGGGCAATTATTTCAGCTGGAGGGTGACTTAATGAGTTCTGGTGAGCTGTCTTAGGCCACACATGTAAAATCCTTCAGAAGATATCATTTTAACAATATCATTGTTATTTTAGATTAAATAACAATTCATATACAAAAAGTCAAACATCTGTTATAACATACTTCAATTTTATTTCAAAAATAATTTTTGTCCTGATTTATATTTTTTCAGTAGTGTGTATAGAGGCAATTGAATAATAACTCAAATAGAGACTTACTCTTGTATCTTGTGTGTGGGAGGTGGGGAGGTGTGCAGGGGGTGGGGGTCGGGTTTGTGTGGGGAGATGTGGGTGTGTAGCTGGCATGTTGGGGTGGGGGTGGGCATATGAGGTGTGTGTGCGGTTGTCCGCATGCTAGGTCCCAGGAGCCTGCCAGGGTGGGGGGAGGTAGAAATGGGGACAGGGGATGCATGCAGCAGAGCTCTCCTGGGCTGGACTGGGTGCAGGTGCTGGTGTAGTCTGCCCCTGCCTGCAGCTGCCCCCACAGTGCCCCATATAGAGCCAAGACCCACCCAGTCCTGCTTGGAGCACCCTGTGCCATGCTCCCACTCTGCAGCTGGGTGGCTCCTGCCCCAGTGCATGGAACTTCAGCTCCAGCTCCCAGCCGCCGTCCACCAACTTGGTCACCTGCAGGTGGCTGCTCATTGTGCTGGACAGGTGGAATGGGTGGAAGGTGGCTAGAGCTGGAGCCCCATGGCTTGGAGCTGGAGCCACCCAGCTGCAGTTTCTCCCCTACCTGGCTGGGGCATCTGCTGTCTGGCAAATGTCCCCATAGCAGCTGTTTCTCCCCAGCACTACCTGCTGCCCAAAGTGGTGCTGCAGGGGCAGGAAGATTGGGAGAAGGAGCTGCTGGAGGTGTGGGGAGCCAAGCAGTACACAGGCAGCTGCAGCTGCACCGGGAGTATCCCTGCTAGGAAGCTGTGCACACTAGCCAGAACTGGGGTGGGGCCAGAAGAGTGCAGGTGGTGGGCATGGGGTATGTACAGGTGGGAGCATGGCATGGCCTGCCCTGGGCAGAAGCAGGTAGGGCTCAGCCCCATGTAGAGCGCCACAGGGGCAGCCAGCCTGGATACAATCAATTGGTGAGTGTCCACCTGTGGGCCAGATCAATTAGTTGGCAGGCTGGATTTTAGCTTAACCCAGCTGGAGAGGGCAGAGATCCTCTGGCTGGCTGGCCTTTACCCCAGTAAAGACCTTGCATCCCTGCCTGAATCCCTGATTGAATCAGCTGTTAGACAAAAGCACCAAAAATCCCCACTGAAGCTCCCAATCTACACAGATGCTGAAGAGCTGGGTTGAACTACCGGGCTGCTGCTTCTGGTAAAGCATGTTTTTTGGGGGTTTTTTAATGTCTGCCTGTAAGCAGCCTTAATGTCCAGTGGCTACACAAAGGTCAGAATGGATGATCTAATGTTCTTTTCTGTCTTTAAATGGTATGAGTCAGTGAAGGATTTACGATAAATTACAGCGTACAGAGTAACCTTGAATGAGGAAAATGGTAATCCTGCATATGAATAATGTTTAAGATTTTTTTCAGTATTAGCATCTCTTCCTTTGGTTAGATTTGTTTTTACCACCAAAATCAGCCATGTAAATTCACGGCTTGACCTAAAGCAAACCTATTGATGGGAGGCAGCTGAATGGTTCTCATTTGTTTGTGTGTGTTGCATCAGCCTGGTACTGCTCATCAAAGCTGCCAGGATAAAAAAACAGAAAATGAATCTAGTCGCCAAAGAAAAGTTGTGGCAAAGACAGTGGCAGTTAAAGACTTCCCATATTACTCTGCTGTGGTGTCAAAGACTTATCTGTGCATGTATTTTGGACCTCCCAGGTATTCCTGTAATGGCTGAGTGTTTTGCAAGTATGAATGATTTCATCCTCCTAACACAACTGTAGCTAGAGAAGTATTTTTATCCCAATCTTGTAGGCAGGGATGCAAGGCCAAAGGAAGTTGTGTATAATTGTCTCCAGGGTGTCACAGGAAACCACTGGCAGAGCCCAGGAGCTAATCCCAGATTTCCTGACTTCCAGCTCAGTGTGTGAACCACAAGACCATTCTCCCTCAACATCCCTATTCTAGATGGACTGGCTACTGCTCACATTGCAATTCCTTACAAAGCCCCCATTGCCTGTAGAATCAAGCTCTGATTAGGACACAAGAATTACATGAGGACTATGTCTCCAATTTTCTCCTCTTGTTGCTACTATACTTTCAAGTTAAAGCTTGCTTGTGCCATACTTTTTCTTGTTGCCATCTTTGGCTCTCATCACACAGCCAAGAACACAAAATGGTGCAATTATTCAACTTCAGAACAGAGTTCCTCTGAAAGAAATCCTAGACATGGTTTGAAATTTTTTACAAAAAACAAATTCATTAAAAATCTAGATGATAGGCATACTTATTTCTAATTTTCCTACTCCCTTTATATTTTTAATTAAATATACCACAAAATAAGAAATCTAATCTGTCATAATGTGGATGGAATAAAAAAAGATACTGGGATATATATGTATAGGGGCATGTGTACCTAAATTGCCACAAGGTGAACAAGGACAGGAATTTATAAAATACTCCATGGTAGCTGTGCACACCTAAGCTCTTACCCCTGCCATAACTGAAAACCAATGCATGGTAGCTTCGCTCCTAGTGAAGAAGAGGGATGGGCTACCATGATATAATTTGTTCATACTGTGAGATAAAGGGTGTACGTGTGCTATTTTCTAGTACACCTGCTACTCTTCCAGAAACTCCTGTCTTGTTTTATATTGTGATAGTTTGTTTCTGTGCACTCTGAGAGACAGCCGGTTGCCCTGTGGGGTCAGGCCACCTCTCAGGATCTCAATATTGCGCTGTTAGACAGGAGGGTGTGACACAATTGCACATATACAAACAGACAAATCAATTAGGTGCATACACACATACACTACCAGCTCAGGCACATACACAACCAAACCAGCCTAGGCACATGCATACCTATCACCAATTCAAGCACATACACTATACACCCCAAAAGTTAGACACAGATCACTAATTCATATATTATGCACACAATGCCAGATATATATACACACACACCAGTTCAAGTGTAGGGAGTGAAAGTTGCCAGAACCAGTAGACTACAGAGAAGCTGGCTGAGGTACTGAGGCTTGGGTTTACTTAAGGTAGACTGAGCCTGGAAACTGAGACAGAGAGATAAGATATTGGGGGGGAGGTCAGGTAAGTGGTGGCAAGGAGGAGACATCCAGGAAAGAAACTGAGGCAGAAACTTGGCTGCTCAGGGGACAAGGAAAAGGCAGTGGGGATAAGACAGTGGCAAAGAAACAGGGTGTCTGGAGGCAGAGAGGAGCTCAGGACAGGTGTTGGAGGTGGCAGTGAGCCAGAAGCAGTAGAGGGAGAAATGAGACAGAAGTTAGAGGGGCGAGGAGCAGAGCCAAACCATAGTAAAGCAAAACCCAATTTAGGGGTCCAAATAACATTTTTATTACACAGGCAACACACTACACAGCCCCATGAAGTTATTGGTTCACACACACACTCACACTCACACTCACAAGCACTCACAATGGCAGCAGGAGAAAGAGACTCAGTGGAAGGGCTGAAGTCCAGGTAGGGAAGAGAAGCAGTGTCCAAGTCTTTGGTTGAAGAGGGGGTGAGGGGTGACAGCTACCTATCCAGGCTGGAAAGGGGTCCTTGTCCAGCAGGTGTTGTCCAGAGGGGGGTTGCCAGCAGGGCCTCTGGGTGCATAGATAGTGCGGCATAGTGCTGGTACAGATGGAGAGGGCGCCCACTGGTTCTGTCTTCACTGCCCCTTTTTATAGGGGCAGACCTTGTGTGACCCTAGTGACAGGAGGCATGCCCAGGCAAGGGTCAGCCCCTGGTGTACTGAGCATGTGTGCTCTAAGCAGGGATGGGCATTTTTGGGTGTCTCTAATGGTGGGGTACAATGGTAGAGTTGCTGGTTCTGCAGGGTCTTTTGTCTTTCAAATGCTGGGTTCTTGTTTCTGTTCCTGGGTGAGGTCCGTGGTTCCTGGATGAATCAATGCACGGTGATGGCCTGGTTGTTACAGGCCATTCAGTAGAGGTCTGCTACCATTGTATTTCAGTCATTCCCAATCGCTCTCATTCATTCAGGAACCAATTTACATGGGAGGGATACGTGAATCATACAGTTGCAACACAGGGGATGCCCAGGCAGAGGACACAAGATGGAGACTTGACATACAAAATGGAAACTTGGCATTACTTTGGTTCACTTACAAACATGGGCCTAAACCATACAATATCCATATGAAATAATAAAAACCAATATGAAAATGATAATACAATATACAACAGTAAGAATCAATACAAATCTAATAATAATACAATATAAAACAGTGGATAGCCCAAACCAAAAACGTGCCACCAAAATAAAAATGTTAAAGCTTATCCTAAGTCTGAGCTCGCTTATGCTTTTCTAGAGGGAATAGAGAGGGAGAGAAACAAAAGCCAGAACTAGTTGGGGAAGGGAAGGGAATGCATATCTATCTTATTTATATATATTTAAAAAAGAAAAACTGGGGGTTTTGCTACAAGCCCAGTGATTAGGACACTCACTTGAAAAGTCAGAGAAACAATCATTTTCCTGCTTTGATTCAAGTGGAGATTTGAACCTGACATGCCCAGATCCTGGGTGCTAGAGTCTGTCTCACCCTCTCCTTCTCCCTTTCTGGCATGCTGGTCTTGAACTTCTGCAGGACTGTGTACATCTTCTCTATCCTGACCAAGCGACCAAGGGGAGTGTGATTTGCCTGGCCAATTTTTTTTCTGGGTCAGGCCAAGATGGCAACTCTGCAAAGCTGAAGAAACTGGCGCGCAGGGGCTGGGTCTGATGATCCCCTCCAACTCTTCTGCTTCCTGGTCCGCCCATGTGTCATATTTGAATCTTCACCTTACAACAAAATATGAACCAGTTTGTGTTTTGCTGGGCTACTATGGGGGGCCTCTGCCAAGTGGAAGGCAGACAGCTAGTCCTACAAATGTAAGCCCATGAAGGGCATGGGGGGGGGGAAGTTTCAGTCTCTGGTGACATGGTGGTTTTGTCTCTGGCGAGTGTTACATGCTTGGCCCCTGATAAAGGTTTAAAAAGGAAAACTCTCTGTCTCTGTCTCTCTCATACCTCTGAGAAAACTTCCTGGTGAAATATTCAGTGAAACCTAGGGTAACCATACCTCCCAGTTTGGCTAGGACAGCCCCAGATTTTGGAGGCCAGTCTTGGGCACCAGGAGCAGTCCAGTGAGGAGGCAGAGTGTCACACGCTGTGAAATAGGGGGCCCTAACAGACAGCAAAATTGCCCTAAACTAGGTTAGCTTGATTAGTGGAATGACTGTTAGGAAGGGGAGATGATGGTTAACACCTGTGGAGTAAAGAAAAAGGGGTTATTAACAGGCCCTTGACTCCCTTAGCTGCCTGAGTAGTAGTACACAGCCTACTGCAACACCACTGACGTGGGAGATGCGAGGGAGGCAGTGTCCCGGATTTCACATTGTCCCATATGGTCACCCTGCTTAAACCCATACTTTTCAACGAAGCTTTTGGGTTTCAACAAAATGGTGTTTTTTCAAGCTTTGTCAATAATTTTTCAGCAGGCTCCACTCTACAGCATCCCAAGTGAACGTGGAGAGCATCAGAACAATGGCTTGCCTTGGCTAATAAGTACATTTTCTGAAAATGGGTACTTCAGAGCTGCATAATCCTGAACTTAGTTGTTGAAAGGTTTATCTACAAGTCTGCCAGCTTTAGGTGAAGCAGCAATGAATGCTGTTAAATGTAAAGTCTTTTTTTTTTACTAATGAGATTCAGCCTAATGGGACCAAAAATAACTATAAAAGACATTTCCTTTCTGCTCTTCAAGGGCTTTATTTCCAGTCCATTTGGACTGGATATCAAAGATAAGTGAAATATTTCACTAGAAAGAGCTTTTATAATTAAGCTTCGTAGCCTACATAAGTGAGATGTAGCCAAATTCAAGTAAAAATTAATAATTATTTCTCTAGTACAGAATTTTTGATGACATCCCCCCTCCCACCTCCCCTTCCAAAAGTCACATAATCAGCTCTGTGATTTTTTTTTTCAACGCTAATTCTGCATGGGACTAAATGTAGGACTAAAGGCAGCTCATTTCCCAACATGTGCATGTTTATCTTATATTTTAAAAAAAGACCTTTATGTGATCTTAAGGTAAAGCCAGACCATGATATGAGGTAACATTCTGCATTTTTACAGAGGTGTGGGCACTTATTGATGCTCTATCCAAGTGGCTTTCAACTTTTTTGCAATCGTGGCATCCCTCACTGGACTTAAAGCAGCCCTCCATAATTTTTGTGAATTGAGTGGCACCCAATTTCAAAACTAGTTTATGTAGAACAGTGCTTACCTCTTTTCAGATGCACCGGGCATTTGGGGGTGGAGGATCATGCAGGCAGGGACAAGCCTGAGCTTAGTTTATCCCCTTAGTCTGTCTGCTTATCTCGTAACACCTCACTTATCTCTACAAAGTAACTTCTAAGGGTCTGGGTGCCCTGCTGTATCAGAACTTTGGCCAGCGACTTTCCCAGTTTCAGGTATCACAGTAACTTTACCACATTTTAGGACAGGCAGATCTGAGAATGCATATATATGGCTAGGATACCTCATAGATGATTTTCCTATTTAAAATGGCAAAATGGGGGAAGGGTAGAAGAAAGAGTAACTCCACCAGAAATACATGTGTATATAGAAGTAATCACAGATCAGAAAACAAAACAAAATTGTGTTTTGCAAACACAGCTTCCTAGAACCTCAGAAGAAGAAGAGAAAAAGCCACCTGAAGTTCATGCCAAGGTATTTCAATACCAGTTATTTGTACCCTGGGAGGATAGAGGGAGAATATAGTCCTTAGCTGTGAAAGGACCAACAACCTGTTCCCCAGCACTAAAGACATTGAAATCTTGCTCAATGCCTATGAAAAATACTTAAACCATGAAGCTTCTCTTTTTCTCCTTCCTGTCTTCTCCTTATTGCTTAATGACTATTCCTGTAGTTCCCCTTTGATTCTAATGATGTCTTCTTGGCAACTGATTTATGGACAGACAGTGGAGGTCATTTGACTTGTCCCTTCATTAAGTATATTCACACATGTATGAAGTCATTTGTTGTGTATCCAGTCTTCTGCTAGGGAAACAATGCTTCTGTGCTTGTCTAGAAAAGTCTGTATTTACTTGCATACTATATGTACTTTTCCCCAAAAAACAGCTCTCCAGAACTGGGGATGAAGTGGGGAGTGAGTCTTAAGCAGGGACACTTAATTTTTCCTTGTGTGTGTTTAGCCCAGAATAGCTACTTTGATTCCTACTCCAATAAAAGCTTAAAACCAACTGCCCAGCAGTTGAGGGAATCAGTTCACGTAATGGCTTATTGTCCTTCTCTCCAAAGGTGTTAATGACCATCTCTCGTTCTTAATGGTCTTGATGTTTCACGAATAGAGCCAATCTTTCTCCCTGCAATTTAAATCTCTGCTAGATACTCCTGGTCTCTTTTCTCCTATTCCATAGCCCTGCAAGCTGTTTTTAGCTCTTTCCAAAACTGTAGAGCTTTCCACTGAAACCAGTTTTCAACAGCAACTGCAGTTTTACCTTTTGGCTGAGCAGCAAAGGAAGGGTAAGTGAGCTGAAGATTAGGCTCTGCCCCTGCTCTATAGCCATAACTCTGGGGGAAAAAAACCCTTTCCCCCCTTCTGGCTTCTCAAAAACAAGGTGCATCTCTTATCTGAGGCATGCGCTATGTGAGAAAATATAGTGGGAAGAAAAGACTTATAGGGGGAGAGGCAGCTGAAGGGTCTGCAGTATCTGTAAAGCAGGTTCTTGAATTATTATGCGTAAGATCCCTGAGTTCAGAAGATCAGTGTCTTAACATTTACATTTGTGAAGCCTTAACCTATTGTGGAGGCACTCAGCCTTTTTCTCATTCTGTCTTTTCAAGAAGAGAGTGAGATTTGCACATCTCCACTGTGTAATCCAAGTCTTATTGTTTCTTCAAGTCACACAGAATGTCTTTATTTTATGGAAGGTGTAAAACTTGGTTGCAGAACATTCCCCTACTGTGACAAGAACTGGTTGTATTCCTCCCTCCCTCACTGCCATTACTAATCACACTTTGATTTAGAGTACACCTAGAAAGACTAGTTCAGAATGCATCATTTTTAGGGAGCCAATGAAATGTATAAAGATATATATGTGTCATATAATAATGTTATATAATGATAAATCTTAAATCATCCTGCTCTAGGGAGGGTTTTTTTTCTGTTTTTAGGTGCACAGGACCTACACACACAGCTCATGAGATGGTCTCACATAATATGAAAAGGTCATGATAGTGTTACACCTTGAAGAGGACTGGAGGTCTTCTCTATAGTGAAAAATGGTTCTCTGATACGAACAGAGACCTTCTTATTTTCTAAATGAGAAGGGGTCAGCAGCTCCCGATGTTTCTCTATTATTTTAATTTTATCTTTTAGATGATTGGCTTTAAAAAAAATTCTCCATGACAGAATGTTTAAATTTTTATAGTTGTACCATAATAAAAAACTGTGTAAATGCACAGAGTACAACCCAAATACCCACTTGATATAAAATTATTCACCTTAACCCAGTGATTCCCAAATTCCTTAGACTCAAGGCACCCTTCGATAGACTCAGTGAACCCCTTGCTTTTACACCCTGGTTGAGAATCACTGCCTTCACCTATATTTAGATGCTAAGGAGCCCAAGTTTTTAGTTTTGCTAAAATGCCAGTGTGATTTGTTGGATATACTGAGACTATGTCCTTATAAGTAAACCTTTTTTTTTCATAATTGCATGGAATGTATTCTAGAGGCTACGCAATATGCTTGTTACTTTTGGGATACTTTACATTTTCAGAATTGTAGCAAAGGAGTATGTTGATTAATTAATCCTTCTATCTTAAAGCCCTGTAAGAAAGGTAAAAATAGGAAATGCAAATTAGTGTTAAAAAGGGGAATGTGAATCAGGACTTGTAGACTCTGTTCTTCACTCTCCTTTGTTTGTGACACAGGTTAAGTTCACTTCTCTACCTTAATGTTTCTCATGGTCAATAGGCTTAATTAATGTTTGCAAGGTGCTTTGAGATCCTTGGATAAATTGATGTCAATTATAGTTGTTTTTAGAGCAGGATTCCAAAATTCCAGTAACATTGAACCTGCTGATGATACGTTACCCATTAGACATGTGGCTGATATTTTTTCTTTCTTGTTGACCGAGTTACAGGTTCCTAGACTATACTCAGAGTAGTGACTACACTGACTACCAAATGTTAGAGATAAGAGCAATCCATCTATATACGTACAGCAACATTATCATAGTCTCTAATATTCTTCCACTTCCTCCAGATAGAAATACAAATAACATTTTCAATTTGGATCTCTTTCTTCTATAAACTATAAAAATGGGTTGATTAATGTGTAGCTTTTTTTTTGCTTGTATTTGTGTCAGTGTTGCTCTCATGTATGTGAAAATCTTAGTAAAGCTAAACTAAAAAAATAATTTTTCATTCACTTTTGAAAGCAGCAAAGTCCATAATCACTTTTCTCTCTGTATGAAAGACAACTTTACTAGGTATAAACCTGGACTCTGTAGCTAAAAGAAAGCTGCTACATGCTGGTCAAAAAGTATTATTCCAGTGCCATATAGATGTGTGAGAGGCTTGTTTGGGGGCAGAGAAGACTTTTAGGGCTTTTTTATCAGCTTTTTAGGGCTAAGAATGTTGTAAATACTGATTAACCCAGCATAATCCCCAGTTGTGTCTGTTTCAGGCTGTGCACCTTTTTCCTAGATGGAACAATTGCATTAGTTAAATATAGATGTTATGAAATGTGGATCAGTGGCACTAGTTCTGGGTCTTTTGGGATGGGATATGATCTTTGAGACAGTCACAGATGGTAGTCAGCACTTATGCTTTGAGCATCCAATAGCCCTGCAGCATCCCAGGGAGATCCAAAGGCTGCAGACTAACAATCCTAATGGCAGATGCCCTGAATAGTGGGGAGTGAATTCTTCAAAGTATTTCCTTTTACCTACCATCGTCGCTTGAGCATTGCCTTGGTCCAGCACAAGCCATCTGCTCTTCATTCAGATGCAAGGTTGACATTTATCTGTTGGCTGGGTTTGCCAGCTCAGATGTTCAGATGTCTTCGGCACATTCATGTGTAACCAGCCATCCCAGCTGGTGACCAGCCATTTTAACTTACTGAGCCATTTAAATTCATTGCACATCACAAGCATGCTGTTGGTACTAGATAAATAATAGATAGTGCAGCTACTAGTATCATATTCAATATGATTAATGAGCCAAACGCAATAAATAGGAAACTGAAGTGCAATACATGGTTTCCATTAGTCCCACCAGGAATGTTTCAAATGGCCTTTGGTTTTGTCCTGAGATTATATGATCAGTGTAGTAGATTTCTCAAAAGCACTTCTTCACATCCCCATCTTATATAATTGACAGTTCATGTAGAAACCAGCTGGTGTCCTGGATTGCCTCTGGTGAGGTTTATCTGTATTAATTGAAAATTTGCAAGAGGCTCTTCAAGAAAGCCTGAAAAAGCTCTAGAGATCTGAAAATGAGAGTTCTAGAAGAAGCTGTTAACATGAAGAGTGTAATAATATAATATTTAGAGAGTACTTTTCTTGTCTGTGAGCAGTTAAATTCAATAAACAATCATAAGGCAATTTTCTAACTCTGGTAGATTTACAGCAGTTCATGAAGATGTCTTAATAACATTAGTGTTTGTGATGGGTGATTGGGGAGAAAGCCACAGGGGAGAATCAGGAAGATAAAACATGTTCCTTATGGAGCATTTTATTCCTTGTCTGCTTGGAATTATCTTGGGTTGATTTTTAAGATATTGTTTTAAGCTAGTATGGAAGTAACAGGCCTATAATTCACTGTAACTTTTCCACGTATGAATTATCAGGTCTTTCATGCTGTCTGAGATAAAATCATAACCCATGGCAGTCCATTTGGTATGTTTTATGAATGCCCTCTAAGAAACAACGTCTCATTTACAATTGGGAACAGGAGCCAGAGTAATTTCTGTATCAACCGAGCACATCTAATAACACATAAATAATGTAAACTATAAAAACAACAAAACTAGACAAGTTAGTTACTTAGTGTGAAAAATGTTGAGGATGTGGCTGTAGCGCTATTGAGCCATAAATGCTGCCCCAAAATTGGCAATATTGTTGCAAAGATTCGCTGGCCCCAAAACTCAGCAAGGTTCTTATTTGATGCACATTGGGCCGCCCTTGTAAACCATCTCATCATTAAGGGCTTGATCCGGCAGATCTCTGGTGAGAACTCCTGCTCCAATTCAGCAACCCCTTTAATTTGCGCTTAATTTTATGCGTTTTGCTAATGGAAATTAATTGACCTCAGTGGGATGGCTCATGCATTTACAATTAAACATATTCTTAAACATTGTGCTGAACTGGGGCCAAAGCACTCATCACTTTGCAGAATCAAATCCTCTGATCCACAGACTTCGGTTTCAGTGGGAGTTTAATTTAATGGAAAGAACTTTACGTACAACCTGAACATGCCTAACTTCCTGTAGGAGTCACTCAGCATCTCATTGTATTGGTTGTTATTTTTCTGTTTCACTGTGGCAGTGGATTTCAGTTTGTTAAGGTTGGTTTATAATACAGTGGGGGGGTAGGGGAGGTAAGTTCTTTCTGTTTCACAGACTGTTTCTGATTTTTTTTTTATAAAAGAGCATGCATCACATGATCTCTCTACTTTCCAGTAGAAAGTTGTATTATGAAAGACAGTGTGATCCTAGATCTTTTCTCACAATACATATTTCTTCCTTGTTTTTTCCTTTGAGTACTGCAAAAAGAAAACAAAGAATCACAGTTGGAATTAAATGCTACAATCCATTGCTGTGAAGTAGGTAACATAAAACTAACACAAATAATAGAGAATTGCCTCTGTTTTTGGAAAAAGTGCTGATTAAGATCAAATGTATTTTGAGTCCAAATTTACATTAGCATGAAGTTTTATTTGGTTCTGTTAGGACTTATAGAAAATCTATGTCAATATACAGTGCAAATAAAATATTTTTTTACTGAAGTCTGGCTGGGAGGTTAAAGAAGGTCAACTGGAAGCTGGTTCACTGAAAGAATAGATAGGTACAGGATGCTGCATTAACAAACCTAGAAAATGTGTACCTTGCACCAGAAAGACTTCAGCATATGAAGAACTTTGAGCTCTGTGAGCACAGCACATTTGTAATGTGAAGTACGGTGCATAGGCTTCAGCATGTGTGCAGCTCTTTGCAGGAGCAGGCCTTGGAAAAGTATGTGTTTAAATGATAGGCGGTGTCTGGTACTGTTTTCTCCAAGTAGATGATTACTTCAGTGATGTTCATATAGGAAGCATTATATGTGCCTATCATACCTGTAGCCCTTTCCAGCCATAGTAATAATAAAAAGCTAATATGAAAATAATAAAAATATTAAATGAGGTTATTCTAAGAGATCCCACACTTTTTATTTGCTGTGTCTTCTCCTATGGAAGTGCTAATTAACTGTTTTTATTGCTTTGACCTGTTCTGTTATCTGCTTTTCTTCTCTTCGATTCTATTATAAAAAAAAAGTCCTTTTTTCTCTTGTTAAGTGAAGGCTGCTAGGAGCTGGAAGCAAATCTGGAATAGTCCCAGTTTCTTTTCTACCACTACAGCCACTATCGATACAGCACTGCATGCTTGCTAGATTCAAGGAAGTGAAAGGGGGAGTCGGGAGAGAGCCCATCTAAGCTGATATTGTTTTTGATCATGACGGGTCTAACCAGAGAAGTCAGCGGAGTCTTTCCCATTAAAAAATGCCTCAGAAATCCCTGAGACTTGTGGTCATACCCTGGGCCTTATTGAGTAATCTTCATTTGAACTAAAACCAAAAACTAACTCCCATTTCAGCGGGAGTTTTAAGAAGGGGTGTTTGGTAGGAGTTTTTAGACTAATTGGATCTGATTCCCCAATAACTGTTCAAAGCATTGTACAGGCACTGTCTTCATCTTTATAACATATTATCATGCACATTATATGGACTGGTAATCTGTGACTCAGAGAAATTAATTACATTCCAGTAAGTTATAGAGTGGGTTTTTGTCAGAAATAGTTCTCAGAAGTTCCCAGGTCCTGGCCTCAAAGTCAAAATGCTAAGGCATGTATTTCTTTTACTTTCTAATCATGTTTAATTTTTTTTTAAATCACCATATCCATTTTATTTGTACATCTGAGCCTGGCCCTCCTGTTAAGTGTAGTGTGTTGTCCCCAGCATTTCCTTCTTTTTTCTTTAGCCTGCAGTAGTGTAATGTGAGTTGGGCAAGCAGGACATGTGCTTTGGGTGCTGCCTATGGGCAGGGGCTCCAGAAAGAGGCGGGGTGCCTCACTCTCCCATTTCCTGCTCTGTTTGCACTTTCCAACTGCCCATTGCAGCGACACAAGCAACGTACGTCACGGAGTGCAAGGTGTTCTGGTAATCACAGTTTTGCAAAGTGGCAGTAGAGGTGGTTGCTTCTGGTGGGAGAACTAACCCTGTATTGTGCCATCAAAATTAGCAGTTTTTTTGCTCTCCCCACATGGGCTTTGATGGCAAAAAAACTCTGCTGCCCCTGTAAAGAAATACAGTTGCCAGGTGCTGAGACACGGCCCACGCCTGCAGCTAGCTGGTGTTCTGCTTGCTGCCTTGTGGGAATGGGTGAGAGAGGTCTGGCCTGGGTACCTTTCTTTGTCTCTTATTTCTGGGAGTACATACAGGACAATTTGGAGTATTTTGCATTTATGCTGAGTTTTAGACTTAGCAATAGACAATTTTTATTGTTAGGATTAGTAAACTAACTATGCTTTTGAAAAGAATGACTTAAAGCTTCTGAAGAATGCTTTTTTGAAGATCTCTAGGGTCGGTGCCTGCACCACCCCTGCAGGGAGTCTATTCCAGAGTCTGGTCACACGAACCGTGAAAAATTTTTCCTTCTTTTCCTTCCATCACATGAACCATAAATAGTTAGTTGTAGTAAGTCAATGAACAGTTTTTGTTATTTAGTCCTCTGTGCTGCTTCCTCTACACCAGTGATGTTAAGTTCCATCTTGCAGTTGGGCTTGTGCTACTGCAGACAGTTGGGCATTATGCTTTGAGAAGGCGGCTTGTCTATTTTGTGCCTTTTGTAGTAGAGTACTATGCTCTACTCACTTTAGGTTGCATTATAAGCCATCTGCTAATGTCCATTGGACACTGTGCGCTCCTATAGCTGAGCCTGGTGGAGCACAGAGATTGAAGCAATCTGGCAGCCTTCTGCATCACGTGTAGCAGCATCCCCACAATGAAAAATTGGTGGCAGGGCACTTTGAAATAAAACACGTTCAATGAGCTGTAGTTCAAAGCACCCTGCTGCCATTTCTTCTGTGCGGGGATGCGATGTGTGGGCGCTTTTAATTAGCGCGGCTCAGAGCTCATGTAAAAATGCCCTGTATGTCCAGCTGTATTTGGTTTCCACTTTCATTCCTAACAAACTGCTGTAGTTTGCTTGCCTAGAGTTATGAGATGTACCCCCCTGCCCTTGGCTAGGTTTACCAACAAAAGGAAAGGACATAACCTTTTACCATCTTTTGAAATACTATGGTAACCTCCTGCTACTACATATATTTCTTTGGTGCTAAAGTATCAATTTCGGCCTTCAAAATTATGTTTTGAGTAAACACTGTTGGGTTTTTTAAGTGCATTTTTCCTTAATATGTCAAATGGCATATCTGTTGGAATCAGAGCCATCCCTAGGAGTGCATGGGGCGCAGGATATATCAGCCTGTGCAGGGCCCGGGGGAGATGGGGTGGTGAACGCACTCAGCAGTGGCAGAGCCAGTGGTGCTCAGCAGCAGTGACACGTGGTGGCCACGGCGGGGCATATGAAGCACTGACCGCAGGGCCCCTCGAAGTGCAGGGCCCGGGGCAGTCGCCCTGATTTGCCCTCCCTAGGGACAGCCCTGCTTGGAAGTGTCCTTTCTGCACCCTAATCTACGTTTCAAAATATAATGATTAGATTTGCTAATTTTAATGTTCCAGGATATATAACTTGATTAGCTCAAGAAAATGTTTCCAGTATTAAATACAATCTTTAAGGTCAAAAGTGGAACTCACAAAAATGCTTTACTACTTCATGACAGATTTCTGTTTCCCGATGTATGCTATATGAATTCGCTTGGGAGAAGAGCCTGTTGTCCTCCAGGCCTCAACAGATTTTTGAGAGATTGTTGACTAGATTTTTCTGTGGGGGACAGAGAGGCTGAAGTGCTCCACAGCCCATGAGGGAGATTCCTAGTCTGTTTTTAAGTTGTATAGCAAATCTGTTGCTACCTAGAAATAGATTTCCCAGTCCTTCATACGCTGCAATTAACTACCAAAAGCATCATGGTGGTAGAGGAGAGAATTTTTAAAGCATGCTTTTAAAGCATGAGCCTCCACAGCTTGAACTGAAGGAGAATTTCCCTTGTTTGCCAGAGCTTACAACAGACAAAGCTGATCAATTCTGATTTCACTGGAGTAGAGAGCAGAGTTCTGCATACACATTGACCAGTCCATTATAACAGATGCAGTCTGTTTGGATGTAATGATGGGTCTACTATATGCCAGCAGTCAGCTTGCTATCAAGTGAATTTCTTTTCTGTATTTCTTCTCATTTTCACAGTCATCTCTCAGAAAGCAAATAAAACACTGGAATCTACACCTTTCAGTCAACATATTTTACTATGAATGCAAGCAAGCAGTACATTATTTTTCATTTACATTAGAGCTCCTTTTTGCTGTACTCCAAGCCAGGGATGTAAATTAATGCCTTATCATGTTCTTAACCATTTGCCTGGCAATTTAAGGGAACTACTCTCTCCTTGAAACATGCATAGAGCTCCAATTAATGCTAATATGAGTTATACATGTGCATTCAGGGACATATACATGCCTAAATGTCTTTGTTGCTTATTTATTTGAAGGAAGGTTAAGAAGAAAAATTAAATAAAATAATTTTATAGCATTGGTGAAAAATAGTGGAGGATTCTGAAGGGCATGAAAAAGTTATATAAAAACATGTTCTTTCAAAGATGCTTAATTGAAGTTTAAAAGTGATTGCAATATCTTCTGGTTTCTTGGGCCAACACTGTTCAAATGAATAGTTTTTCATTCTGAGTTAAAACAGTCAGCAATCACTGTCTGACATAGCTCTTCTTAATATATGTCCCATTTCTGCTCGCATAGCAATCACAAACTCCCTTGCTTAGGAGGTTTGTTCTTTTCTACTTTTAAAAAAACAAACCCTTAACAGTTGTTATAGAAAATGTCTAGTGCATGGAGAATATTTATCTGGAATATTCTCCTTAATAAATAATGTACAAGCAAAGCAGCACGTCAGAGAAACCAATGTGCTAACAGTGTGCATGCATGTGCATGTGTGTGGAGTGGTAGGGGGTGAATACTGAACAATTCAAGCATTGAAAGGCAACACTGCTGAGGATAAACCCTAATAGCTCAAAAGATGAAGAAATAAAACAAGAGTCCCACTTGTTATTTAAAACTCTTATTTTAAAGCTAATCTCATAATCTCGTATTTTAGACCTGGGAATTTCTGAAATTCCAATTTTGGGGATTGCCAGTGCTTCAACTGACTAAAAACTTTGCTGGACAAGAATATCATTGTCATCATCCACTCACTCTCTTCTGCATCATCAAGTGACCTCTGTGTCATAGAGGCCTCACCAGGGGTGGATTTAGATTTTGATAAAGGCAAGTATGGGAGCAGCCACCCATGCTGCAAGGGTGGCTGCAGCCAGCCCTTGCTCCCAGTCTCCTTTCCCTCCTCCCTCCCATTCACCCACAGAGTACACACCATAGTGAGCCTCTGGGGACTTTTTTTTTAAGAAAAAAAGTAAGAATGTAAGAATCCCCACCTTCCCCTCTGTCCTCAAAGCCATGTCCTTTTCTCTCCCTTCCCTTCTCCTCCCCTTCCTTGCCTGCTGCTGATACTTTCTCCACTGTACCAGGGGTCGGGGAAGCATCAAAGTCACTCCTGTCTGCTCCGGGAAGGCTGCGTGGAGGCTGGGCTCAGCTGGGAACAGCAGCAGCAGTGGCAATGGGAAGGGATGCACCCAATCCCCTGTCCCTGCACCCAGTGGGTACCAGGCAGGGGGGTGGAACCCACTACCATGCCCATTGCCATTGCTGCCAATGTTCTCAGCTAAGCGCAGCCACCATGCAGCCTGTCTGGAAGACAGGAGTGGCTTTGAAGCTTCCCTGCCACTGGAACAGTGGGGAAAGAAGCAGTAGCAGGTGTGGAAGTGGGGGTGGAGAGGAGGGAACATGCCTTTGAGCATGGAGGGGGAGGTGAGAGTTCTTACATGCTTTAGGGACTTTAAAAAGTCCCTGTCCCAGGGAGGGACGTACAAGTAAACACATACTGCAACAGGAGGCACGGAGCAGCAGAGGCGGCAGGGAGAACCCGTGTGGCTCATCAGCTGCTTGTTTATACAGCTATGGCCAGCCAGTGATGTCAGCTCCAGAAGCCGGCTGGCAAGAATAAAAATGGCGGCCAATGCCGCAGAGGGGGGAGGAGGAAGAGAGGAGAGAGAGAGAAGACCCTGGCTAGACCCGGGAAGGGAAGAAACCCTCACCGCGGCCCCCACTGAACCCAGCGGACCACCAGGAGCTGGAGGCTGGAAGGCATCAGGCGGCAGGGACCCCAGACCCAATCAAGGATCCAGGAGCAGATGGGAGGCTCAGCAGGATCCCAGGTGGGAAAGGCAGAGTGACCAGGGTGAGCGGGGACCCACGCTGGCAGGAGGGACTCCAAGAGGAACCCCGGCATGGCCGCAATCGAGGAGGGTATTGCTGCCCTTCCTGGCTGGGTCAGCGGCAGAGGGTGAAGAGCTCCAAAGGTGTGGGAGGATTTAAAAGGCACCCGGAGTTAATATAGCAGGGCGGGAGCCTGGTGTAGTTTAGCCTAGGAGCAGGCTCGGGCATAGGGTCACTAGGAAGACCAGTTTCTTTTGTTTTTCCCCGGTTGTGAAGAGGCTAAGGAGAGGATGGCCTTGTGAGCTACCCCATGCATCGGGGCTGAGGGGAGCACCTCAGAGGTTTTTCTTTTTTTGTTTCCCCAAGAGAAGGGGCAAGAGGGAAGGAGGAAGGTGGAGTGGAGACAGAGCCGAGAGGACGGATTTCCTGTTGTCAGGCAGGCACTCTGGGCGGCCAATGGAAGGAATGCAACTCCACGGATGGGCTGAGACCAACAAAAATCAATTGCGCACGAGGGGGAGTGAGGCCAGGGTGTAGGGGAGGCGGAGCCCCATGAAGGACCGTCGGGTGAACCACGGGCCGCCGAGTATATCCGATGGCCATCCCTGGCCACTGAGTAACCAGCAAGTCATGGCAGGAGAGAGCGGGGAAGGCAAGTTGTGGAAGGGACACCTGCTCAGTCAAAAGGGCAAGCCTGGAGAACGCCCAACGTCCATCTCATGGGCAAGGGCTGCCCAAGAGCGGATAGTCGAAGCCCGATGGCCACAGTCCCTAAAGCTTCTGAGGCAGTATTTGACCATGGATTATACTCTGGCCGACACCACTTTTTAAAAATCAGATATATTTTATCTTAATGTTGTGTCCTTACAGAGCTTATTGAAAATTTCAGGGGTAAGGAAGTTGTGAAGATGAGACATGAATAACAGAAGAAATTTATAAAGATGGCATTCATACAGACATCACCATAAAAACTGCCCAACTTACATTCTGGTGAAAACAATTTTAAAAACTCAAAATTTGAATATCTGTAAATCCTGCAAGGTTTTATGGACTAGTCCCTTAAATAATATAAACAGGTTTTGGCTTCGTACTGCTGCTGAAACATGGTGGTACAATTCAGAGGGAAAATTTAAGTATGTGGTCTCTAGCAGTGTGTATAGGATAAACCCTGATTCAGCAGAGTGCTTTATGCATATGAAAAAAATCTGTCTTTGTTCAGCATAGCATTTAAATGTGCACTTCATTTTAAGTATAGGAAGCCTCTGCAGAAATCTATGGGACTGTGCATGCTTAAAGTTAAGCATGTATTTAAATACCATAATGCATCAGAACTTATGCATGTGTCTTATTTACATATTGTTTTCCTAGGGAACCAATACAGTCCAGTTTCAACCCACTTCTCATCTCTCTTCAAGTTTTCCAGGGAGCTGGGTTTTTTTAAGTTACAATTCTATTCCTAAAAGCAACTAAATAAAAATAGAACCATCTTGCTTAATAGGCTTGCTTCCTATGTGTGCATTCTTTGTAATTACTGTTTACATTACTGGCTGCCATTTACTCCTGCTAGTACTGAAGAGCCACCACATTTGGGGGAAACGATCAGGGTTCTATGGTGGCTTGTGCATCATCAGCTGAATATTTTAACTGTGTTTTGATTGCAGAATCTTTATTACAGTCTAAGCAGGAGCCAGAAAGAACCCAGCTGGACGTCAAAATTCCATGTTACGATTACAGGGAAAGCAATTGGTGAAAGCATCTTTTTGCTCGCAAATTGAGTCTGTTTGATCTGGAGAGACAATAAAAACAGAACTGCACAGTACCACTTTACAAACTGCACTATAAGGCTCTGGCAGGCTTTGTTGGTGAAGAAGCTAAAAGGAGTTTGGCTCTTATTAATACTAAAAGGAGAATATTTCTTTGTTGTTGAAACCTTGACATGAAGTCTGTACAAGGAAACAAGCAGCAGCTGCAACTTCTTTATGTTTAGGTCAATATAATTCCCTGAAATTAAAAGGAAATGCAGATGATTGCCTGGCATTTAATTTTGCAGATCATCAAAGGGAACTTGCTATCTGATTCACAGTATGTCAACAGAGAAAAGCATGGTTCAGCCATATAAGGATATTAGAGACACATTCCGTCCCTATGTGACTATTAATAGCAGCTTTAGGATAGCAGTGATTAAACAAATGCTCTATATAAATAAAGCCTTATTTAAAAGGGTTACTTATTTTAATGATCAATTTAAACAAAATGTTGTAATATTAATCCTCCCACATTACTTTTGAGCTTCTTCATGTGATGTTATGAATCCCAGGACAAGGACAAAAGTAATATGAGAAGATGTAACTTAATATTCGTATTAGACATTTTGGACTAAGGGCTTAACTTGGTTTGATTTGGAAACTTAATTTATACCTGCATTTATGCAATTCAAGTCTACGTTTATGCAATAGAAATGATATGTTAGCTTATCATGTTTTGCTGACAGAAATACTTTATGTAAAAGCCAGGTTTTTATACCTTATTACCCTTTTTATGTTACAGATAATCCTTGTAAGTTCATCGCATAATGACCGGGACCAGAGCCTATTCATAAGCATGGATGAAGGAGCCACATTTCAAAAACAGCCTATTACTTTCTTTGTGGAAACCCTGCTTTTTCACCCAAAAGAAGAAGACAAGGTGCTTGCTTACACCAAGGAAGGCAAGGTAAATCTAATAATAACCATGTTGTTGACTTGTATGAGATATAAACGCAATGAAATTGTAAGGATCTGCTGATTAGTATTTATGACATGACTTGCCTAAGAGTGGGCAACACCATATTATAGAGATGCATTTTTGTTTGTTTCAGTTAATTACAGTATTTACTCACATATAAGATGACCCCCCAATAACTAGAATCTACATCTGGAAAATGTATACATTTGCTATAATCTTCCAGGTATGGAATCTAATTATTGAAAGTTTGCCAGTTCCCTGTGGCTGGAGCACCTACCCATTTAAGGGATAGATGGGCACAGACACACACCATCAGAATGTTTGCCCAATGCGGGTAATATGTTTTATAGTTATTCACCATGTTGGCCAAGGTATTTAATGAGGTTTCCTTGTACGCAAATGTAGGATAAGGAGCTTCCCCCCCATGCTGACTTGGGGTTAAAAACCTTATTTTGTATTTGAGTAAATATGGTATATCCATCTCCAAAAGCCATTATTGTTTTATAATGGTTTTATTTCTCGCATATCTTGTTGATGCTAGTAATATAACTCATCATCCTGCATAATTATAGTTAAGTACAACCCTGAAAATTTATTTTCCCGTAGAAATTAGCCATAAGCAATTGCTCTTTAATCTATAGGTAAGTAGAAAGTTAATGGAGCTGAAATACTATCTCAGAAGCCTTTCTTGGATTGTAAAATAAATTAAATTAAACTTTTATTTAGTTGTTAGCAGAATAGAGGTTCAGGGAAGCAATTTATATGTAAAAAACGTAGAATAACCCTTCCCCATTCTTAAAGTGTTTAGACCACATACAGTTTGAGAAGCCATGTCAAATTGTTTGTAGACTTTGAATGGCATTCAGATATTATGTATTCTTAAATTAGAAAGGTTTATGACACTTTTGGATGTGTTATAAACTTGTTGGTAAGCACATAATCCAGTAAAAATGTAACTGAAATATTTTTACAGTGCCAGAGCTCAGGCTATAAAATCACAGACTGTGGTCCTGATTCTGATTTTACTAGGCCTAGTTTTACACTGGTATACTTCTGTTGTTGCTCCTGTTATAGGTACTGTTAAGAGAACTCAGAATCAAGCCATGTTAAGCTTTCTCAGTTATGCTTGGCAGGTTGATATTGCTTGAGTGGAACTCATTCAGCAGCAAAATACAGACATCACTGAAGTTTCATTGAGCTGCCCTTCAGAACATGATTCTAAAGATTTGTTCATCTTATCACCAGTGCTTCATGTTCTCCAGGCTTTTGCAAACAAGACCGGATTCAGAAAACATGATAGATATGTGAGATTTCAGTCTTATCTGTCATGCTAGCAAGTTTCATAGTATTTTAAATAATTTTTCATTTTATTTTTAGGTCCTAAGTACATTATTACAATTTTGAAATTTGCACAGCAACAAGAAAATGTATATGATCAAAGTTATTGCACAAAAGCTGTGGCTTAGTTGCAGTTTGACTTTCGATTCTCATGGAATCTGCTAGAGATAGTGGGCCAGTTAGTCCTCTGAGACTGAACCCAGTTCTGAGTGGAACTAAGCTAAGTGAACAGGTGATCCAATGGCAAATGGAATTTCCTGTTCTTAACTAGAAAGTCATTCATGCTTGCTGGGAAAAAAAATAGCTTCTTGTGTGCTTACTGGGTTGTGATTAAGGATATCAGCTCAGTAAAAAAACAGATGGCAAATAATATAGAAAAAGTATAGTGGCATTATTTAAATTAATGGTAAGCCCTTGTCTGGAATACTGTGGACAATACTGGTCACCTCATCTTAAAAAAGACTGTTGAAGAGTTAATGGAAGTTCAACTAAGATGGACAAGAAGGGTGGGGACATGGGAAACTCAAATATTTAAAGAGAGAGTGCCAAGAGTAGGATTGCTTACCTTAGAAAGCAGATCAATATGGAGAGGTTTGATAATAGTATATAAAATAATGAATAGCATTGAGAAGAAAGCTTCTGTTCCTCTGAAGCGTGTGGAGCTGGCCTCTCTCAGAGACAGTGTACTGGCCTAGATAGTCAGGCATTTGGGCCAGTATCCTTGTTATTTGCTATGTGCCTTTTTCAGTCTCTCATGTCTAAGTTGTACCTGAATTCAGATTCCTGCTCTGAATCAGCAAACAAAAAGATTTGACCTGTCATATCTTATGGCCTAGGTCGGAGGTACTTGAGAAGACCCTAGGGGGTACGCATGGGTGGGCAGGCAGGGGCGGAGTGCTGCCATGCACCTCCCATGCTGCCATGCAGGTGTGTGGCTGGACTTGAGGCGGAGGAAGCTCATACACAGTGGCTGCTGCCACTCCACATCCTGCTGTGTGCCATTCACCCTCTTCCCCCCCACTCAGCATCTGATCACTGGGGGTACACTGCTCCGTGTCCAGCCACTGAAGGTACACTAATCAAAAAAGGTTGAAAACCCCTGCCCTAGGTGACCATCTTACTGACTGGATGAGTGAGTCTGTGTGAGAGTCAATAGTGTAGCTGGTGGGGAGGGAGGGAGGGGGCACCAATCCCAGACCCCTGGGGGTCACCTGTGGTGGGATGGGGCCACCAAAATAACTAGCACTTCCCTGCAGTTGGTACTGCTCCATTGCTGCCACCCAAAGCACAGAGCTTCCCTGTTATACCTGTGTTTGAGAGGCACTATTGTCCACTCTTTCCTCTTAGTTTTCTGCTTTTATCAGCAAATAAACACTTAACTGAAAAAAAAATCCTTATTTCTACTTCTTCTATCACTTTTTTCAATTAAAAAGCTTCCTAACAACCCACTCCAATTTCTGTTGAAAGCAAGTTTTATTGGGTAGGAACTGCATAATTGTTACTTAGTTCAACAATGTTTAAAACAAATGTGTAATGTTAAAAGTGCATGGCTGAATTTTGTTCTATGGAAGGAAGATTTTCAATTGAATATTAGAAACAATTTCTTGACATTGATTAGGTGAGCTAATTGATTTTTGCTCTCTCTTAGTTTTGTAATTAAAGCAGTCAACCAAAGAAAAGTAAATAGACAATCTTTACACAAGATTAGTCTGAGGAAAATCTGCAGTTGACTAGAGTGGGAGAGTTATCCATATACATGTTGTGTAAGGATAGGCAATGAGATGGAAGTCATCACACAGAATCAGCATAGAAAAGGAAACAAACTGAAATCAGTGGCTTTGGGAAGAAGCAGAAGTCTTGTGTTGATGTAGGGAGATCATATAGTTAGGGACCTACTCAATACATGATTTTGCGGATTTTGTAGCAATTGCAAAATTGGGGAATGTCTGCAGAATCTGGAGAAACATAACTTATTAAAACACCCCCAAAACTGGCTTCCCAGTCGGATCGAGTGATCCTCATAGCCACTGTGGCTCAGCTGATAGACAGAGTAGCAAGGGGTGGGGCTGCATGCCAGACAGCCATCTCAACCAATCAGCAATGAGGGGTGTAGCCACCAGGGCCCTTCAGGCAATCAGGCGAATGGTGGAGGGAGGGCCTGCCACAATAAGCCAGTGAAAATGCTGGCTGGTCCCACAATCTGCCTGTAAAATCAGCTGCTTGTGTCCTCAATTTTAGTAGTTGCTTACATTGTAGCTTGGATCATAAAGTTTAAATTATAATCTCCATTCCATTCTGTATAACAAAGAATTGTATCTCTGCTATTGAGGTGTATCTTTCTGTTAAATGCCTATTGTTAGCATATTCATAACTGAAAACTGGAAGAAAATGTGGGAAAAGAAGCCAAAGTTGTGACTGTGTTAGAAGAAGGACAGATTCCTGTTCTGCCATCTTCTGTCTTTTCCTGACCTGTTTGAGCCACTGCTCAGTGGGGTATGAGTAGAGAGCTTTGTGGGGTTCCAGTTAAATGAGCACTTAAGTTCATGGCTGTTCAACAAAGCTTTTTTGCATATGCTTAACTTGTAACAGATGTTTTATGTTCCATAGAATCAACTTGAGACTTTGTGTAGCCTAATGGACAGCATGAGCTTAATGCCTTTGCTGAGTTGGGGCTTAAGAAGTGCAGACAGAAGTGACAATTCTACCCAATCTGGCCACAGAAAGCAGTTTATACCTGTGACCAAACACAAGTGCACAGCTGCAGACAGCTTCAAAAATGGTCAATAGGGTGAAAATCTGACCCTCATTGCGTGAGGTATCAGACATTTCAAAATGTAGTGTCTTTTGTAACTTGCATCTGCAGAGCTCCCTGCCTGTTGCTGTTTTCAGAAGGGGGAGGGGGGAAAGGGAGTTCACTGGGGTCTTTTCAGCGGCCCCTGGAGGGTGGGGAGGGTTTATTTGAGTCCCCTGAGATGGGAGGGAGGCTCCAATTCACCCACCCCACCCTTCAGAACCAGCTGGGGAACTCCAAAAACGAGCGCCCTCTGCTGCCTCTCCCCCTTCCTATTCTGAAACCAGCACATAATGCCAGAGAGCCCTGGCTATTGCTATGGGAACCTGACTGCAGCCCCAGCTAGATTCCCTTACCCCCTGGAACCAACAGCGAACTCCTATTCGGTCTAGGGTAATGTTGTTGTAACTCAGAACAATTTGCAGAAATTATTCTGAGTTACAGCTGGGAGCTGCACTTCTGTTTGCACACCAAGGGGTAGAAATTGTGCCTTCAGGCACAGCTGGTGAACTCAGACTGGTGGGGCAGTGGAGCGTCCCATGGGGGTGGGGATTTGCAGCTGGCCAGGAGCGGGGTGGGGTTTGCAGCCAGCTGGGCACCCTGGCCGGTATCGGGGAGGCTGCAACGCGCCCCCCCCACTGCCAGCCGGCTACAACCCCCAGCCACACACACACACTCCTGTGGGATGCTGTACCACCCCACCAGTCTGAGTTCACCAGCCCTGCCTGTGTGCCTGACTAGTCCCTGTGTGAGAAGAAAAGACATTTTCCATGTGGCCTCCCACTTATGTGACTTCTTACCAAAATCATGGATTGCTTGCATGACATACAACAGCCCATTGGTGAAGGGTTTTACTCTTCATAGATATTTTACAGGAACATGCAAACACTTATGGCTGTGGAAAGTGGTGAAGCTATTTCTTTAAATTCATTTTGATTTGTCATATTTGGTGGTTTTTTAATACAGCTGAATAAAGATCCTGTGGTTAACCACTGTCTTTTAAAATGTACATTATTAGCAGTTCCCTATGATCTAAAATGTTTGCTCTCCTCTTTTCTTTGAAGCTCTATGTATCTACTGACTTGGGGAAAAAATGGACCCTTCTACAGGAACGAGTGTCAAAAGACCACATCTTTTGGTAAGAAGCATGCATTATTGTTAGTCTGCAACTAACAGAAGCAACAGTATTGAATTGTAATTAATCTAGGTGTTTCTTCAAATAGGTCAAAGGTATTAAAAGAAACCTGACAACATGTGTGGTCCCAGTTCCATTCTTCTCTTTACCTTGGTATAATTTTCAAATTCATACTCTTGTGAAGACTCCTTATCCCTACAAGTTTCCCTGTAAAGGGTACATACATGATTTTGCAGGACTGGGCCTCTGGTGACCTGGCCTCATTTTAATGTGCATTTAAATTGAACTTCATTATACAGATTAAATTGGTCTCTAGAAACCAGATTTATCTGTCTGAAGGAAAAAAGAAAATCCATAATCTTAAAGGTTGAAAATGGCATATTAACTAGAGCTATATAAAAAAATTTGTACTGCTATGGAAACTGGTAAAAAAATCATGCTTTTGTTAAATACAGACTGCCCCTCCAGACCTTTTGCTGTTTTTATATACATATGGAAAAATAGGTTCTGTGGGGCAGAGCAGAGGATGACAAGTTGGGTAGGAAAAAAATGGCTACTTTTCTGTGCAAATCACATAGCTAATCTCTGAAAATGTGACTTGTTCCAGAATAGAAATTGACCTATTTCTGTTGCCAAACAGGAAATAAAATTGTGGCCAGTTATGAAAGTGGTTACATTCATGTTTGCCCAAGTATTTTATTTCTGTTGAAAAAAATAAAAAGATAGAAAAATTCATCTTTCAAAGAAAACTTCAATGGAAAAAATACATATAGCTTCATAAAGTTATAATTTAGCAATGTTTATCATTATTTATATTCCACTAGTACCCACAAATTGCTAGACACTGTTCATACACACAGGAAGACTTCTCCAAGACGTTATGATCTAAGTCTAATTTTTTTCTTTGGCATTCTGTGCTGGGTAGATTACAGTGGAACATACCTTCTTTGTGGAAAGGCATGTGACTTTCTTCAAGATTATACGCATGCCAAAGGGTGGCTAGTCCTTGAATAGATTTCATTTTGACTATTCTCTCAACAACTGCCAAGCTTATAATGAATGCATATATGAAATAATAAGGCCAGATTGCAACCTGTCAATCGAGCCTAGAGATTCACTCTGTGTAAAAGTATTGCCCCCCAAATCTGGTTGGAAGCACATTGTACCTCTGTGTGCAGCTCCTTGCTGTAACTCGTGGTGCTTCTTATGAAGTGCCATGAATTACAGCATTACCCCTGACCTAACGGACATTTGCTGTTGGGTCTGCGGGTTGAGGGATCAAGCTCCAGTTTGGAGTGGCTGTGTGTCTGCAGCCGCTGTCCCCTAGTCCTACCCCACACCCTCCCCCCTCCCAGCTCTGGTGCCATCTTCAGAATGGGAGGGGGGAAGAAAGGGGAGGGAGTTCTGTCTGGGGTTGAACCAGCCTGTTCTAGGGGTGTGTGTGTGCAGCGTGGATTGAAGCCCCCATCTTGTGGTGGGGGGTGGGTAGGGGAGGCTCCAATCCACTCACCCCACACTCCGGTGCAGGCTGGGCAAACCCCAGACAGAACTCCCTCCCCTTCCTTCTCCCCTTCCCATTGTGAAGACAGCACCAGGGGTGGTGCACGCTGACAGAAGTTAATAAAGGTGCTCCACTTTGGAGAACATTCATCTGAACCCTCATGTAATGAGCTCCCTCCCCTTCCCCACCCCCCTTCTGAAGATAGCACAAATGTAACTTCTGTCTGCACCATCAGAGTTATAACCTGACTCCTGCTGCATTTATGATCCTGTAGAAGGTGGTCCCTGTTTTCAGCACAGTTTATGGTGCTTCCAAAATTTTGTTATATCATGTTTCACTAGTAGCAGCAGGGACATTCAGACATAAGAGATACTGTATTTACTTGAATCTAAGACAAACACCTGTACATGGAAAATGTATAAATTTGTTATAATTTTCCATGTACAGAATCTAATTATTGGAGGGTCATTGTTAATTAATGCCCCACACTGCTGCAAAGGGGCAGACAGTGTGGGTGCAGGGGGTAAAGCAGTTTGCCCCCTGCTTGTGCCTGCCCCTCTGCCCCCTGCCTGCCCCCCAACCCTGCTGCTGTGGGCTCCCCCTTCCGCCTCTGCTTCTGCTCCCCTTTCTCTCCCTCCCCCTTCAACCTCTGCTCCTCCACTTTCCAATGCCCCAACCCCCTTCCCCTCCTTCCCCTTGCTCTGCACCAGTAGGCTGTGTCCCTGTTCTAGCCTGGGGCAAGGAGCACAGCCCCAGTCCAGAGCCTGTTGCAGCCATGTGGGCTGCTATGGGGTTGGGCTGGAGCCATTCTCGGTGCCTCAGGCTGCAGCATCGACAGAGACTGCTGGTGTGGAGTAAAGGTAGGTGAGGGAGGGAGAGGGGCAAATCAGGGAGCAGAGGCTGCAGGGGAGAGATGACAGGCTGTAGGAATGGCAGTGGGGACCAGGGACAGGCAGCTCCTGTGGCTGTAGGCAGCAGCTAAGGACCCAACCCCAGATGGGAGCTGAAGCCAGAGCCACAATGTTGACCAGAGAGGGGCATGTCTCAATCAGCTGATTAATATTTTCACTTGGGGTGAGGCCCTTAATCAGCAGGCAGTACAACCTCTCTTGAAAAAGGGGTGGCTGAATAGAATGTACCCTATGGGTACTTGTTGGCCCAAGCTGACTTGCTTTGGGTTTTGGGCTCTTCAGAGCAAGCTAGAAGCCCAGTCCGCAGATTAAATGATTTATACATGCACAGAAGGTTATTAAACAAAACTGGTTATTATTGAGAGCAAAGGGAGATGAGACTGTAAAGACACAAGGCAATCGCAGTAGTGATCCTTCAGGAACAGAAGTTGAGTCCCACTGCCAGATGGTGCTGTGCTGTTCCATTGCTGGGCAACCACACTCACTCGCATTCTCTCTAACTCGAAAGCACTCTGAATGAAACATTAGACTCACACTTTGCACTCTACAGCCACAGATCCACAGACCCACCCACAGACACAGTCACATTAGGTATATAGGTAATATCCGCAAGTCAGTCATTCCACACTATCCCTCCAAAATCCCAATCACACTGTGCCTGCTTAGTTTTGGTAATTGGAACAGAAGTGGAAAGGTCAGCCCTTCCATAACCAGCTGAATATGCTGCACATCCCTTAAGCAAATGAAGTAAGGTGCCCAGGAATGCAATTCAGGGATATTAACTACATAAAACACCTACACAACTAAAACCTGGGGCATCAACAGCAGCTGCCTGGTCCCCCACCATGCTCATGCTTGGTTCTAAGGTGACAGGCTTTCCTCCCCATGTTATTCCCCATGTTTCTCCAGGACTGGTTAGGGTGTAAATCTGGAGAGAATTTGGCTCATTGTCTTTAATTAAATATTTAAAATGGCCTCACCAGTCTGCCACTTTGATTTTATATTTTGGCTACTATCAAGCTCTATAACAATTAGGGGGAAAAAAAGTAATGGGACTTTATTTTTGCTTCAACACCATAATGTTATGACAAAGTGAATACCCATGCTACATTACAAAAATGAATCTGAATTTTGTCTAGCTCTTAAATAATAGGATGGCATTTCTTGTAACTTGGGGCCTGATTTAAGGAAGGTAGCCTCATTCACAAATTTAGTGGGACTTAAACACCGGCTTAATGGTAAGCGCGCACTTAGCTGTTTTCCTTAATAAGTAGGTTTCCTACATTGCTGCAACAGACTCACAGTATATATAAATACTGAGACTTTGAAGTGCCATCAAAGTCCCTTTACAGTTCCTTTACAGATTTATTTGTTCATAGGTTTCATTTTCACATTCAAGTCAGATGGCTGCCACAGGATTTAAGCCAGGGGTGGGGAATTATTTGGGCCCATGGGTCATATAGGGAATTTTGGTGAGCTGTTGCAGGCTGGGTGGGTCAGCACCACCACCACCCATCCCACTCCCAACAGTCCACCAAATCTCCCTATGTTGGGGGGAGCTGGGGTGGACATAGGCAGCAGCTTCATTGGGTACAACTCAGCTAGGGCCCCTGCTGCCACCAGTACTGCCTCTGGGTCACCCTTCTACCCCATTGAGGGAGCTTGGGCAGATGCCTCAATCCCCAACAGGAACCTGCTGGCTGCATCTGCAGCTGATTCTGGCACCTGCCTGGCACTGCTTACAGTGCGCAGGCCAGGAGAAGGTATAAGCTGCTTGGATGTGCTATAGGTGCGGGATGGGTTGGGTTGGAGGTGGGGGTGGAAAGAACAGGGAGAGGGAGACAGAGAGAGGCAGCTCTGCCCACCTCCCACCCACAATGAGTGACAACAGCTGGTTCTGGGCACCGGGAAGAAGCAGGACCTGGTGGCAGACATGCTTGCTGTGGTTGGGGCCTTTCTGGCTGTGGCTGCCCAGAGCTTATGCCAGGGCTGCTTTGCGGCTCCTCCCCGCTGTCACTGCCCTGCAGGCCTGGGGTGGCCTGGAGGTGGCACTGGTGGTGGCGGCAGTGGCGGGGAAGAGCCATGGGGCAGTGATCTCTCTTCAGTTTTTAGAAGTATAGTATAGATTGCTGGAGTAGAGGTTTTACCATACTCTTTTCATCAAACAGTAGGGGACTGCAAAGCAGGCAGTATTCAATTTGGATTTGGATTTGGATTCAGCTCGATTTGAGGGACAGTGATTTGATTTGCTGATTTGGATCACTGTCCTGATTCAATTCGGCCGAATCTGAGGATTCTATTCTGATTTTGGAGAATCGGTGATTTGGCCACAGACACAGCTTTATATGTTTTTCCTATATGCCTTGAGGTACCAGGCATGGCCCGTGAATGCTGGGATGGTGGGGCAGACGGAGTGTCCCCACAGGAGTGGGGGGGGGGGGCCCCCATC